GTAAAATTTACCAAAAATGTTTGAAAAACTGATTTCAAAATTATCCATATTTCTAGCACAAATAATAAAGTGTTTCCTTACTAACTTGATTGACCAAAGTTGCGAGTGATTATCAAAAAATATTTATATGTGTATCTGCTTTTTACCTCAACTTGTATCAATTTTAGTAGTAGAAAATAACAAAATGGTGAATTGGTAGCTCAGACTGTTAAAGGAAACAATCTACCCTAATTTCACAGCCAAACCATTATCCAAACCAGTGCCAAAACATGTGTTGCCTGGAACTATTGCTTATATAACGCTTATAGAACAATTGCTTAAAATAACATGTTATGACCAGAAAAAGAATATTTTTACAAGTAAAAGTGAGATAATGTTCATATTTTAGTGGTTTGTACAAAACAGGGTCCCTATTACACTAATATTTCATCTTCTTGTATTTTCAAAAGTTCATTAGTTCATGAAATGAACTAACAAATTTTAGTCTTTTTTTCCATTTACACCAATTAATTTTAATTGTACAACTTCTTGATGGTGCATAGTATCAATAGTATCATTTCATGGCTTTATATGGCCATGCAAATAAAATTTTGTTTTGATGATTTGACCACAGTTTTAACATTTTAATAAAGCTCTGAAAAAACTTATCTTAGCTTAGTTGTAAAGAAACTAAAAACACAAGCTTATTTAAAAAAAAAGAAAAAAAATCTTAGTAATACATAAATAAAACAAAAATAAAAAAAATAAAAACAAAACTTATCTAAAATAAATTATTAGCAATAAATTATCTTTATAATTACATTTGAAATAAATAACTTTGAATCTTTACTAATATTTTTGTAATGTAAAACTAGTAGTCTCCCATCTAGTTTGTTACCGCACCATATAAAATATGTGGTAGTGGTGTAGTAACAGAGCGCTCGCTTCATAAGCGAAAGGCTCGATCCTTGCCACGTCCTTGGTAGTGCCGCACTGTACTTTTTTCTCCGCGAAGTGGCCTTATTTGTCAAGGTTCTTGTTTTCGAGTTATTTAGTTGAGAGAGGGTTATAACCATAAGTATCCTCCTCATCTGTAGAGGCCTTCTTAGCCTTGGAGAGGTGAATTAAAAAATAAATAAAAATAGTATTAATCGACAAAAAAAATGTAAATATTATGAAAAACATCATCGCACATTCGTGGTATTTTTAAAAAATTAGGAATTAACTATTATATTAATATTTATTAATATTAATATATTAATATTTTTTTCGAAATTAAATGAAAAACTTTTATTATTATACATATGGTTTTTAGCAAATGCTTTTACAAAATCAAGTTAACAATGTTTCTCATAGTTAATTTGTATTTATTACACAATTTATAATTATTAATGCACTTATACAAATAAATAAAATTTATTTACTTTTGTTAAATGTTTGCTGTAAGCGTTTACATAAAAAAGTCTCATTCACAAATCACAATTCATTGTTTGTAGAAATATGTGCTCTAATTTTAACAAAATGACATAAGTTAACATGAAAAAATGAGTTTCTTAGTTAAAGTATAATTTTAACATTTTACCTTAATTGAAAAAACGTAATTAAAGATATGTGAATAAAGACTATTTTATTTTAAAAATAACTTTTTTGTTTAATTAAACGAGAATCTTTAACAAACTTTTTCTTAAAAAAATTTAATATAAAATCAAGTAAACCATAATTTGTTTTCTCTCTCCCAAATTTTTAGGACAAGTGCATTTTTTTACTCTTGTAACTAAATTAGTAAGCATTTTTCATTGCCTGAATTAATTGCCTGAATGTTTCCATGCTATTAATGAGCAAATAATATCTGCAAAAATATAATACTTAAAGATAAGGCAATGTAATCTTTAAAAAATCATGAAAACAAGGTTTTAAATCAGAGGTTTTAAATGTGAGGTTGAAGGTTGGCTGCAAGAGCAGGTCCAACTATGTTTACAATGCGTTTTTGCACCTTGTCTAAAAGAGAAAGGGCGTCATTAGAAGATCCACCCCAGATATGGCAAAAGTTTTCCATACAAGGTTGGATTTGAGATTTATAGAGAATAGAATCCAGAGTAAGAAGGTGATGAGCTCGATAAAGAGAAGCGACTTTAGCAGACGCTAATTTTGCAACGAATTTGATATAAGGTTTCCAAGAAAAATCAGAAATAAGAGTTAATCCTAGAAGATGAAGGGTAGGAGACTCATCGAGTACATTACCGCTCATAAATATAGGAAGGTCTAAATTATTGCAATAACGATTGGCCGAAAAAAATTGAGTTTTATCTGAATTAAAGTTCACCAGCCACTGTGAGCCCCATGCTGTAGCAGAAGTGAGATCCTTTTCAAGCTCAGATGCCCCCTGCAAGTAATCAGAGGGAGTTGGCTTCTTATCGTGACAAGAATAAATGGTAGTATCATCAGCGAACAATGCCACCTTAGATGTGAGAATATCTGGAAGATCGTTAATGCAAATTAAAATGAGTATAGGGCCAAGGATTGAACCTTGGGGAACCCCTGAGGTTACAGAATAAGAAGAAGAGTGCTGTCCATCAGGGACAACTTTTATACTACGATTGGAAAGGAAGGATTCAATAATCTTAAAGATGTTTCCAAATACATCGTAAGAAGAAAGCTTCTTATGGAGAAGACCAGCATGCCAAATATATATATATATATATATATATATATATATATATATATATATATATATATATATATATATATATATATATATATATATATATATCAGGCCTTGTGACGAATAAAAACTGTGCGACGCATAAGCACAACGTGATTTTTGGCGTCTTTAAATTCTTATTATTTGCTTTTCATATTTATTGATATTAACTGCACCCATTTACTTAATTATCGCAAAACTACTTTAAATCATTAATTGTAAAATGTTATTATTTAAAAATGTTTTGGAATGTTTGGTTTTTTAAAATGTAAAAACATTAGTTTATTTTCTTGACGTTTGACACATTTTGTTTATACTAATGGAATAAATAAAGATTATAACTAAACATTTAAAAAATATTATAAAATATGCTGATATTTTTATTTTTTTTCCTCAAATATGTAATTTAAAGTTTTTCCAAAAATTGTTTTTTCTTTTCAAAAAGTCAGCAAGTAATAAACTGGAAATTTTAATATTGTACGATTAAAAACTGTGCAATAGCTAATAATTTTACCAGCGATTTTATATAATATTTTTTTGTTTATTTTTATTTATTTTCACAAAGCAGTATAGATTTTTAATGTTTACAATGAATTTTATTTCTAGTAAAATAAATAAAAGAGTATCTGTAACTTTTAACAAAAAAGCGATTTTTATTATTCAAGTGATTTTTTTGAGTTTTTACAAAAATTTTAATAACTGTACTTTTTTATTGAATCAAGTAGAATACGTTTTAATATTAATCCTTTTATTTTTTTTTATTTGCGCATACCAATTTTTAAAATGTTTTCTCAAAATTACTCTTAAATACTTTAAATACGTCTAACAGTTAATAAATACTTTTAAATCTATGGAATAATTTAAAACCTAACAAACCCCTGAAAATAATTATATAAGTTAAAAATCTAAAACTAAAAGAAAGTATTTTTGTTCAATTTTATCGACAACTTTGCTATTGCTGAATAATTTTATTAAAATGTTAACTTAAAAAGATTAAATAATGAGCATATTTAATTTTTTTGTAATTCAAACTTTTATATCAACTGCGTGTGGTTTTTAAAATACTTTATTAAATGTTAAAATAATCGTAAATTACTTTATTGAAATTCCGCTCAAAAATATCTTTAAATATACTCAAACAAAAATTTTTTTACTCAACGCAAATAGCCTTAGCTACACGCAAAATCGCTCTTGGGCGACGAAAAATTCACATCGCCCGACGCTTTATTGCAAGGCCTGATATATATATATATATATTTATATATATATATATATATATATATATATATATATATATATATATATATATATATATATATATATATATATATATATTTAAATATGAATTGTGAATCTAAATATAAATATGAATTTAAATGAATTTAAATATAAATTTAAATGAATTTAAATATGAATTTAAATGAATTTAAATATGAATTTAAATGAATTTTAATATGAATTTAAATTAATTTAAATATGAATTTAAATGAATTTAAATGAATTCAAATATGAATTTAAATGAATTTTGTTTATTGAATATTAGTTTATTAATATAATTATTAATTTATTCAATATAATTTATTGAATATAATTTAAAATTTATAATTGTATATAGTTGTATTATAATTATAAATTGTATATAATTATAAATTATAAATGAAAAAAAAAAATAATAATTATAAATGGTATATAAATGTATTATAATTATAAATTGTATGTCTCTTATTGAATATAGTTTATAATTTATAATTTATTGAATATAATTTATAGAATATTAATTTATTGAATATAATTTAAATGAATTTAAATTAATTTAAATATGAATTATGAATTGTGAATATGTAGCTTAAAAAAATAGAGTGTTGTCAGCATCAATTAGATAATACAAAAAATAAATTATATTGCACCAAAATTTTGTTGTGTCTTTTTTTCGATAATTGATTTAGACATATCTTAGCAAAAATTATTAGTAAAAAATTAAATGGGCTAAAAATGTTCTTTTAATAGGTGAAAATTGATGAAATATGCTTTGAACATCAAATACATGACCCTCAAAATTGCACATATATAAAAAACATTTTAATCTAGTTTTAAATACATTTTTATTTAGTTTTAGTATTTTAATTTATTTTTTGATAAATTTAGGAAACATTATTCTAGGAAAATATTTTTGTTTATATTACTGGATTTAGATGATGTTTTTTAATAGTTGAAAAAAAAAAAATAGGCGATGCCAAATCTTTTGTTTTTTTGAGTTTGTGGTGCTTAGTTTTTTTTTTTAACATTTTAAATATGTTAATTTTATTTTTCTTACTCATAGGACTAAGTGGAGTTCAAGGTTCCATTTCATTTCAATCTGCAGAAGACAATAGTCTATATATTCGTCATAAAAGCTTTATTGCTTATCTTCACAAGTTTACTTTATTTAATAATATACCTCAAGATGGATCATTTTATATCCTTCCAAGTAATGATAATTTGTATATTAAGGTGCAATCTACCAATTATCAAAAGCGCTTT